CTAAAAACGGACGTTGCCCTCGGTTTTTTCCAGACAACGATCACGCCGATTCTTTATTATGATACGTAGGTATTGTTATGTTATGACCGTTTCAAACTGAGTATCATGCTATCATGATGAATGTAAATAACATTAATATATTTTGCCTTTAATTGTGTTGTTGTTATTATGAACTTATAAATTAGGTATTCTGTGCTAAAAAGTTTTAATGTTCTCGAGCATTTTAGGAAGTTGTATTTGTGTACCACGGCAGTAATTACCCGAGTAACATTAAAATGACTGCCACGTGAAGTCATTGACTCCTAAATAGTGCGACCGTTGCTTCCGTAGCCATATTTTTTATACCTCTGGCTTCATGATTTTCAAACAATTTACTGGTGTACTTAAAGTTCTTAAAACATTATTCCATGCTGTAAACAAATACAATAAGTAATTAAAATTATTTCCTCGAGGATAATAAATATAAAAATAAGTTTGCAATGCCACACACATGGCCCCGCTGAAGCAGGCGTTGAGTGTTAAAATAACCACGTGGCTATTATTTTTGGTACCTACCGAAAACTACAATCATTTGTTAGAGCAATAACAGTTGAGAAATAATGGAAAATAGATAGTAAAACAATAATCATGAGGATTTCATTTTGGTCCGTATTTTGAGCCGGAAAATAATTGAAATATTGAACGTGTCATTTTTAATAACAAGTTCAATATTATCTATGTAGGTATTTATTGAATTACTTTGTAATAAATCTGTCATTATTTGAGGTTATAACTTAGCTTCTCTTTAGTGTTTGATATACTAACCGTAAACAATGTTGTATAATTTAAATAAAGTAGGTATAGACGGTTTTATTTTGACCTTCGAATAAAGATAACACATACGTTACTGCGTCTAATTTTATTTTAAAATTACCTGGTCATTAAAATGTTTAGATATACATTTATTTCTTTTAGAATACATGTTGATAATACAAGCCTAACAGGTTTTAAGATCCGTTAAATTTAAAAAATGTTTTAAAATATTCATTTCGTTTGATTGTTACATGTGTTCATTCTACTTAATTGAATATTTTGCAATTAGATTTTACATGTGAATCATATTTCAATTGTAAGAATTCATATATGACTCAAATAAGACAAGCTATTTAGAAAGAAACTGACGTTAGTAGTGGTATCTTACGTAGATAGATAACCGTCAATAACAATAAGTGATAACAATTTACTAATAAGAACATGTTTATTTTTATTTCTAAATCCATAATTTTATCGCTCGAAATCTAAAGAACAATTATATCATTTGTTTCGATTGATATAGTGTTAAAAATGTTTATTTTACACAATGATTTATTGTTGAAAACAAGCCAGTACCTACTGTTTACATAATCATCACAATTCTCCACATTTCGAAATACTGTATCTGTTCAATTAGGTAAGTATGTCCTCAATTTACTTCTGATTACATAAGCAAATAATATTATGTCTGTGTATAAACAAACAACATTGCATTGCACTTGTTTTTGCATTTGTTTTGTGGAAATAAACGATATTCTAATCTTTATCCATGTGTTGTGATTAATCAATAATACCTACAAGCACCGAAGTAACCTAATTCAGACAGTACTTTCTAGAATGTATTTGCAATAACTAAGTCTGAATGTATTTTCAAGACGAGCTTAAAATCATGTTTTTGCGTTGGATCCCTTCAATTCTTTACTCCAAAACTTATGTTATAGATACCACACGGGCCAGACTAGGATTTTGCGACTACATTGTTTCATAAAACAATGAAAATGATAAGGGAAGTAACTGTAAACATAGACTAGAAATTTTCTAGATCAGATACCTACCAACTTAACTTGTTCAGACGGTCACAATTAGAACTAATTGTAATCGCCTTGTTAATATAGTAATATGGAACTCTTTTGTCTTTTAGAACGAAAGTAGCGACATTGCAAAATGTAGAATTGAGTTTGGTTGAACATTAAAATTTTATTTTATTCATTGATAATTTAGTTAATAAAATGGAGACTAGCGCCATCTAGTGCCCAATAGCTGAACGTTATGAGAAGTGATACTCGTTGTTTGTTAAAACAAAAACCGGCCAAGTGCGAGTCGGGCTCGCGCACAAAGGGTTCCGTAGCAGCAAATATAATAAACTTTAACCAAAATTACAGTTAAATCAACCTATCTCAAAAACTATAAGAGATACTTTGATCAAACCAAAAATCGTTGAAAGAGTTAATTAGCATGCATCACCTCTATTTTTTTTAGAATTTTATACCCCGTAGTTATAAAAATAGAGGGGGGGGGACATACTTTTTACGACTTTGAGAGCTGATATCTCAAAAACCGTTCACTTTAAGAAAAATGTTTTTTAGAAAACTTTATATCATTTTAAAAGACCTTTCCATTGATACCCCACACGGGTATGTACATCGAAAAAAAAATTGTCATCCCTCAGTTACATGTATGGGGGGCCCCACCCCCAATTCTTTTTTTTACTATTTAGTGTCATAATTTTGTAGCGGTTATGGGCAATACCTCCTATGGGCAAAAAACGAAGGCCATACAACACATATTCCCATCAAATTTCATCACTGTAGTACTTATAGTTTCCGAGTAAATCGGCTGTGACAGACGGACAGACGGACAGACGGACAGACGGACAGACGGACAGACGGACATGACGAAACTATAAGGGTTCCGTTTTTGCCATTTTGGCTACGGAACCCTAAAAACGTCAAACTCGTAAATATTTACGTCTGTTTTCTATAACCTACCTATACGTAAATATTTATCATAAGCTAAGTATCGACAGACGTGCTGAGATTAAGATATCTGTTTATCGACCCCCTAAATATTTAATTTTATACCTATTCTCTTTGATTTCGATGCTCTATTCAAATTGTTCCATAGTTAGAAGTCGGTTGGCTATTAAATTTATAGTGAGTAGGTAATATGTAATTTAGTATTATATGCATTGTCAGTTTATTATTCCTTATTGTGTTTGTATTATGAAGATCTACGTTTAGGATCAAACGAGCAGCAACCAGCAGCAGGTGTAACGACTATACGTATCACCTGATGTTAGGCAATCGGCGAGGGGGGGGGGAGGAGGTGCCTCCCCCGTCGTATTTGGTAATGAGGTTAATTACTTGCAGTTAGAAACGTAAATAAGTTTATTAAGTCCAGTGTAAAAGCCCGGCACTACTCGCAAATAAAATGTAAATAGAACGCCTGACAATTTAGTCTTAGTTACAACTGGTCGGAATAATAAAAAGTATAGTATTTACTGCTGCAGGCACTTTTTAATTCAAAGAGATTTATTGTTATTTCTTAAATGTCTTTTTAATTGTAATTCATTGCCTAATTTGATGTACCTACTATAGTGAGTACATCTACTATAATAACAAACTGCTTTTTGCTTCAGCTTTTCTGTAGTAAAAAGCAGATAGTAATTATTAGACCAGTGGAAGCAAGTTGAAAAACTGACTTCGACCTTATTATCTACAATGTAAGTGATAAATAGGCATGATTGAGACAATGCCCTTTTACAATCCTCATTCCTAATCCCTAAATTCCCCAATCCTCAAAGTCAGACAACGCACTTGCAACTTCTCTGTTGTTGCGGCACTTGTAAGTGGGCATGGGTGGCGCCGATTGCTTAACCTCAGGTAATGTGTATATTCCTTAGTCTACAAGACTAATATTGACTCTGGTTCGTACCTACTCCACAGCACCGTCGCCTCAGCAATGCGATCATTAAAAAACAGTGTTTAGTAGCTTTTTGCTGCTCTTGCTGGAGTCATTAATTAAGGAGGCTGGAGTCATTAATTAAGAAGGCCGGAGTCCACAGCAGGGATTAGTCTGGTTAAGTCAACAACCAAAACTAAGAGTGGTTCAAAATAAGAAAGGTTTTAATTTTGTATTACGTTTCTGTAATCGATTTGTAATCGAAGTATAAAGAGATATCAAGTATAAACTTGCTCTACAGATTTACCAGGAGGTCTAGATACATCTGTAGGTACTTAAAAATAAGGTATCATACTGCCTACTAAGAAAACATATGCATATCTATGCATAGTTAGCTTACCGAGGTCTGTGTATGACATTGAATGTGTAACCGCATCCTCTAAAAGCAAAAGAGAAAGTTGGTTGTTTCCCGCGTCAAATTCCCGTGAGGTTCATAAAATTGTAAGTAGTCCGTCAACTAAAAAGTAATTATACCTGAAAAATATTATAAATATATTATGTAGTCATGATATTTTAATACAATTGTGTATTAAGATACATTCAAGAAATTTTGCTTTGGTGTATCGTTTCTTTTTATATTTCATGGATAATATAACTTTTTTTTTCTTGGTGACATAGGTAAAGCAGACATATTATATTGTTTGTTTATAATGCCAATGTTGTTACCAATCTATGACACAAGCAGAGCATGAAGTTAAAGCTGGTTGGATATTATCCACTGATTTTTAATGTTACTACGATATTACCTCATCCTAATGTAGTGTTGTGCATCGTCGATAGGTTAGCTATCGATATCATTTTATTCCATATATCTTTGTATTATTCTTATATTATTCCATTTTATATAATATTATTTGTCACATAGACAAATAAATAACTGTTTGTAATGTGGTGAAGCAATACGTACACAATTATTATGTTTGTAAACATTTAGCATTGTGCCAAGATTTTATGACATAAATAGTATATAGGTATATTTAGAACATAAATATATAATATAATGCTAAAGTAGTTAATAAGTTTGTAAACTAATTTAATAGGTAAGTTCATAAGAAAAATGTATAGGTTTCTACACAACTACCTATATTAATGTTGCGGCAGTTAGGTGGTTCAAGACGAAGAAAAAAGTTTTTAACATCACTAGCACAGACGTTGCGCAGGCAGCAGTTCACTAAAATGTCGAAAGAAAGTGAACGCAATAGCGGCGACAACGAACATGCTGCTGGCAGTTTGGTTCTGGCAGTATGCTCAGATGCCTTGGCCTCGGCGCTCGCACAAAACGCGGGAAGCGGATGACGCGCGAAATTCCATTTTGTAAACGCGAAACGTGAAACAAAATTCAATTAAATACATACCGAATATGTAATGAATAAAACTTGCCCTAAATAATAAATAAATAAACATTTTAAGTGATAATTTATAATAGGACTTTGTGATTTATCAAAAATGAATTTGTCAGGTGAAGCAAGCAGTGGGCCGCGTGTTTTAACCGCTCGTCACATAAGTGCGGATATATCCCTTCCCGAAACGAACAATGAAATTAATACCACCCTTCTGTGCCACAGTTATGATCAAAACCCCGATTTTGAAACCTATTTTGCAGGTAAATTATTATGTTATTTCTGACTGAGTTACAAGTTAAAATGTTATAATACTTACAACATTTTTAGTAAGTATTATACCATAATATTATTATATGGTACCTACAAATAGTTAAAAAACTTAAGAAAATTTTTCATGTTACTTATTCATTTTCAGCAGAGTCTAACACTAATATATATTTTTTAGAAAAAGCTAGTTACAAAGCTTTATCTGTATGGTATAGGTAGATATATGTATACATCATAGATATTACAAAAGTTATTGTGTACCAAGCTTCGATCATTAATAAAGAACTTAAAAACACTAATAAAGAAGTTCTTTATTAGTGATCGATGGTACCAAGTGTCAAGTGAAAATAAAATGACAGGTACAATAAAGGTTTAATAATGGTATAATCCTACAGATTTGCCTAAGTATATCTAAGTATAAGTATGAGTTCGTAAAGAAAGTTCCTAAAGAAATGCAAGAATAAATTCTTGCTGCTAGGTAGTTTATGTACTTGACAGAAACTGTAACACATTTAACGTGGAAAATACTTTAAATAAGTATTATCCATCAGTAATACTACATACCGTCATAGATAAAGATATCATCACGCCCATCTCCCTCTAGGATAGGTAGAAACAATGAAAGGCCAAATTACACGATTATGATATATATATATGATTATATATATATCTCTTTCTTTTTTTATACTTATTCATTAATCTCGTCATGCATGCTCGTTGGTAGCCTTAGCTAGTAAAATATATGTAGTGTTTATATACTCCTTGCTAGCTAGGCGGTCGTTCACCGACCTTAATAAAGGAGATATTTTAAAAAAAGTTTCAAATAAATCAATAAATGTGACCCTAAAATGCATTATTTCTTGTATACCAGGCTTATCGACACAAATTTAGAATACCTAGTATTGATTCCCACGATAACTATCTAAGCTTATCGCGATGTAAATAGTTATCCACGTACATACATAGTGAGGTACGTCAATGTGTATATGTATATTTACATTTCCAAAGGTTGTGTATAAACTAAGAGTATTTATGACCAATTTCAGTAACCATCTAGAATAAAATTTAATATATTTGTAGATTTGTGTAGGATCTAAAAATTTAACTTTATCATAAGCTTCGCTAAGAACCAATATTCGAACTCTATTTAAGTAGCCGATTCAACGACCGATAGGTTTTTGAGAATTGCTTTTATAATTTTTAAAACCAAAAATGATTTTAAAGACGGAGAACTTTTTTAGTTTCTTTTACTTACATCCCAATTTTAAGCGTTTCGTACCTACCTGCATGCAGTTGATAGCTATTAATAAAATATACACATTCAGGCTGCGGTAGGAAGATATAGAGAATGCTATTAATAAAATCATCATGTCTATTCCTTACTGGATAAAGCACTTATCTATAATAGTTCGTTACTGCACATGTCTTAAAAATAACTTAGGACGACTGAAGATAGACACCCAAAGTAGACATAAAAAAACTAAGAATTACAAAATAGAAAAACAACAACAAAGTTTTTTATAAATAAATAATTGTTAATAAAACGAAACCGTAATTGATATAAAACAGCAATTTCCTACAACGTCTGGCGATTAATAAAAAGAATAAAAAGATAGTGATCCCTCATTATATAGGGTTACTTGACTTATAAAGTTCAAGGGAATTCATGCGAAGTATTTATGAGATAAAACGAAACCGAGTCGCTGTTTTATCTTACAGTCTTACTCTTTTATTAATACAGTGTTTTCTGCAAAGCAAAATAGACCTACATTGCAATTGCAAAATGTTAGCCGGTAATGACAGACTATTATAAAAATAAGCGGGTCCTTGAAGGACGCAATTTGTACACCACATTACAGTTGGCTTTAGAATGTTGTGAAGTTGTGCAGGCGTAAAGTCCAAGCGTGATTAAGCTCCGTCACCGTTAGTCACACGCACACTGGTATTACAATTTAAAATCACGCAAATGTAGGCTTTGTACGGCATTAAAATTTTAATGCCAAGATACTAGGAATATTTATAGCGCCTGAATACAGATGATAAAAAAACTATGTTGTTTTACATGATGTTGACATAAAGCTTTTTACTTCTCAATGATTGAACATAGGTAATGTGTATTGTAAGTTTTTTTGAAATTTGGCTGATTATCTAGTATCGGTAGATTAGCTTTCACTCGCTTATCAATTCCTCATTCAGCCATGTCGAGGGAATATTATTTTTGTTTAATTATATTAGAGGGTGATAATAGTTTTCAAATTCTGCGTATAAGTATGTTTCTTGATCTGAGATTGGAAAATACATCTTCGTTTTTTTACTTTGGTAAGCTAGCAGTCATGTATGACTTGTTACTTACTATATCAACCCGCTGCAACTTTGCACCGTGCACGGGTGCAATGCTCATACATAATTTTATTATACTTACATATAACTATTGCTCTTTAATCGCTCTTAACATTAAAAATTCACATACATACATACATGAACTCTAAAATCAAAACAAGGAGTGTTTTAGGCAGTCGTGTAAAAAACCGCATCGAAATCCGTTGCGTAGTTTTAAAGATTTACGCATACATAATTATGTTAAAGAAAACGACTTTGTTTTATACTTACTATGTTGTGGTTATCTCATGTGACGTAATACGTATGTATTATATTCACAATAAGTAATTATTTTCAGGTAAACCAATGTTTATGAAGTCTTTAGCACATATTTGGGTGCCATCAGATATTATCTTTGTTTTATAAGCACAGCAAATACTTGTGTAATTTAAGATTGTTAGAATACAAATAATTCCTATCATGAAAACTTATTAGAATCAATTCGTTAACTCGCAAAAAATATTTATGTATATTTGAGATATGTAAAAAAAACAGGGTTAAAACAAGCGAAATCAACTGACGATATCGATACAATATCGATATAACTAAGTAACTAATTGCGCTGTATTTTTTTTGGTATGAAAAGTTTTTCTATTTTCAATTCGAAGATGATATCGTTTAAAATGGGTTAAGATGTATATTTTGTAATAAAGAAATAAAGAAATTCCGTGCTTTTCTTTTCTTCAAGGGATCGAATTTTAACTTTTCGTTATTAATTATTTTCCGTATTGTGTGCGCAAGTTGATGGAAAAATAATTGACTGCACGGTTGGTGCAGTGGCTAGACAACTGACTGCCGTGCAACGTGTGGCGGGTTCGATTCCCGCATGGAACAACTCTTTGTGTGATCCACAAATTGTTGTTCCGGGTCTGGGTGTGATGTGTATGTGAAATTGTATGTTTGTACCGCGCCCACGACACAGGTAAAAACATAGTGTAGGGCAACGATTAAAAAAAAGAGAAGCTATTACGTGAATCGACATTTGACATTTTACACATAAAATAGGTACTTACTTAAGTAAATGTAATAAAAAGCATACATCGAAATGTATATGTGTCGAATCATTTTCTACGCCTATCTGCAATATCTTCAAGCCATCGGCACACGTAATAGCTTTCCAAACCATTACGGAACAAAATCGTTATTCGAAGTACCCAATAACTTCCTATAGCGTGGAATATGGAGTTTTCCATATACATGCGTCTCTATTTAGAAGTTTTCTTTTTCTATTTCGGCATTTGCAGATGTGTTTAAAAGCTAATCAATATATGCGAATATAGATTTTACGTACTTATGATATGTAGAATACAAGTTTCCGCCCGCTGCTTCACTCGCGTTGTAAGTTGAAAAGCAGCCTATGTGTTAACGCCGGGTATCACCTTAGTAGAAGTAGAGTAGCTAGTAATATATAAAACATAAAACTATGGCACTTGGCAGCCTTCATATGTCGATTGCAAATCACGGCAAATGTTACGTAGAACTCGGAGGCCTATGGGTATGCGGTTGCAATACTCGCAATGCGCTCTATAAGCCTAGCACCGCAATGCATGGTGGAAAGTTACATAACTTTTATACTCACTTTAATTGCATGTGTGCGCAACGATCCTATTAAATTTGTAATACAATGTAGTAAAAACTTTGAAGATACCTAACTATTTTGGTCTATTAATGCATCATAATGCGAGTAGATTGTTGGTAGATTTGGCAACTACCCAGTATCGTCCCAACGAGTGCTGATATCTTGGGTGGTACAAGTTCCATATTTTGATTTGTCAAAGGAGTATGTACACAATCTGCTAAGTTATTTGGTATACAAGTAAGACAACAAAAATTTAATCTGTAAGGTTGTAAGTTTTTTAATGAAGGCATATCTTTTGTTGGCTTTGTAGCTACACAATGGTTACCGACTGTTGGTATATTGAACGAATCTTTATTTATTTTATTTTCGTATCTAAATTCTACGTGTAAGTATGCAGACTATAGATAGACGGTATAATCTCTTTAGAGAGAATCTCATCCGAGTCACTGCTAAAAACCTTTTAACGCTTTTACAACGAGGGGCTCTCCAAAGAATTGTTTGGTTTCATCCTTGTCGCGTCTTTTCACCACCTACCCAGACGACATTACTTCCATCTCTATAATATATTTATGTTGACCAACCATCTGGTTGGTAGACAATACTGTGTTGATCACAACTGCCTCTCCCAGCAAAAATGTGGAAGGAACTGTCATTGGCAGTATTTCCGAACCGATACGACATTTAGACTTTCAAGAAAAGAGCGTTGATTCCTCCATCATCATAAGGCTCTCTAAGGCTAACAATTCAAATGGGATTCCTTTGGGTGTTTATGGGCGGCGCTGATCGCTAAGCATCAGGTGAATCGTCTGCATCTTTGGCAACATATGCCATAACAATCAAAGATACTACTACTACTGTAAAATTGTCATACTGCTTGCTAATAACAGTTAAGTTATGAAAGTTGGTAAATGGCGACACGGAGTGTCAGACTTTTACAATTGTTGACTAAAAACTAACCCTTCCTTCTCCTGTCCCAGGCCAGGGCCGCGGTTAACCTTAAAACCCTCGGTGCAACCCTCGGCCAGTATGTATGTA